TATACTTTTGATTTGCCTATTAGACACTTCAGCCTGTCCCTTTGTTTGTGGATGATAGGCGGTAGAAACCTTGTGTGTAACTCCATATTTGGACAACAAATTATTCATCAGCTTATTACACAAGTGACTATCTTGGTCACTCACCAAAGCTATAGGCACTCCATACCTACAAAAAATGAAAGATTTTAGAAACTTCAGCACAGTTTGAGCATCATTTTTCTAGGTAGCAACAGCCTCAACCATTTAGACAGGTAATCAACAGCAAGTAAGATGCAAGAAAACCCACAAGAATTAGGAAAGGGCCCCATAAAATCAATTTCCCATACATCAAATAGTTCACAAAATAAAAGGGGTTGCTCGGGCATTTCATATTTCTTTCCTAGACTCCCAAACTGTTGACACTTTACACATGATTTGCAGAAATTGTAAGCATCCCTAAATAAAGTTGGCCAATAAAAACCAGCTTGAAGGACTCTTTTGGATGTCCTTTTAGCACTAAAGTGCCCACCACAAGCAAGAGAATGACAGAATTCCAAAACAGATTTAACATCACTATCAGGTATACACTTCCTAATTATTTGATCATTGCATATGTGCCATAAGTTAGGTTCATCCCAAATATAATATTAGGCCTCTCTTTTGAGTTTTTGTACTTGAAAATTGGTCATAAACGGAGGCACAACATTAGCTACAATGTAATTGACAATATGAGAGAACCACGGATCAATGGTGCTGACAACAAGTAATGCAGAATCTGGAAATGCATCACAAACATAACTTGATTCAATTATACCCTTAACATCATTCGACAACCTACTTAAATGATCAGCCACCAAATTTTCTGCCCTAGATCTATCCTTTATTTCTATATCAAATTCCTGAAGTAACAGCGTCCATCTCAGAAGTCCAGGCTTGCTTTGTGGTTTTTTAAACAAAAATCGAATAGCAGCATGATCAATGAATATAATGACTTGAGAGTGTAATAAGTACTGTTGAAATTTGTCCAATCCAAACACTATAGCATATAATTCTTTCTCAGTGGTGGTGTAGTTAACTTGAGCATTATCTAAAGTTTTTTATGCATAGGCAATTACTTTGGACTGTTTTTCTTCCCTTTGGCCCACCATTACCCCTATAGCAGAATTTGAAGCATTACATGATAATTCGAAATCTAAATTCCAATTGGGGGATGTGAGAATAGGGGGAGAAGTCAACTTAGCCTTTAACTCATCAAAAGCGCACCTATACAGGTCATCAAAGACAAAGTTAGTATCTTTTTGCAATAAATGGGATAAAGGGGATGCTATTTGACTGAAATTTTTTATGAATCTCCTATAAAATCCAGCATATCCTAGAAATGATCTTAATTCCTTTATACTAGTTAGATAAGGTAGTGAAGAGATAATCTCTATCTTGGCTTTGTCAACTTCTATTTCGTTGTTAGAGATTAAATGGCCCAACACTATGCCTTTGTTTACCATGAAATGACATTTTTCGAAGTTGAGAATGAGATTCTTGTCAATGCATTTATTTAAAGCTGTCTTTAAAGTAGCTAGGCATTCATCAAAAGAGTTTCCATAAATTGTAAAGTTATGCATAAAAACTTCAATACCTTACTCCAAAAGATCACTAAAAATACTCATCATACATCTTTGGAAGGTGCTGGGTGCATTGCACAAGCCAAAAGGCATCCTCCTATATGCAAAGGTTCCAAAGGGGCATATGAAGGTTGTTTTGTCTTGATCCTCTGGTGCCATAGGAACCTGAAAATAGCCACTGAAACTGTCTAAGAAATAATAGTGGGATTTGGAAGCTAGTCTTTCTAACATTTAGTCAATAAAAGGGAGAGGGAAATGATCTTTTCTAGTTGCATTGTTTAGTCTTCTATAATCAATACACACCTTCCAAGCATTTTGTACCCTAGTTGGTATTAGCTCATTCTTTTCATTTTTGACAACTGTAATTCCACTCTTCTTAGGAACAACTTGGACTTGTGAAATCCATTCACTATCACTAATGGGGAAAATAATTCCAACACTCAATAACTTTGTCACTTCCTTTTTAACCACATCTAAAATTAAGGGATTGAGTCTTCGTTGTGGCTGTCTAATGGCTCTGGAATTCTCATTTAACAGGATTCTATGTGTAGAGGTAAATCAGCTAACGTCCAACCAATTGCTCTTTTACAACTTTTTAAAACTGAAAGTAGCCTCTCTTCCTTTAGTTCAGTTAAAGAATTGGCTATAATAACAGGCAGTTTCTTATTTTTTCTAGAAAAACATATTTCAGATTTGGAGGTAATGGCTTAAGTTCTAAATCAGGGGGCTGTTCAGTAGATGGAATTAATTTGTTAATCTCAAGAGCACCAAGAAACTTCCCTGTTACAAGCCCATGCTGCACGGATTAGTCTATTTGGTTATGTGCTGGGACTAGTAAATTAGTACCTGCACCATGTAACATTGTATGATTAAATGGATTTTGAGACGATGTAAATGGGAGAAATTAATCTAAGTTAGTTTGGTTAAGTGTACTTCCCTTTTTAACATCATGGACCAAATGTGTGGTTTGCTGAAAGTAGTGAGATGGAGGTATAGCAGGTGCAAGAATTGATCGCTGTGATAGATTTCTATTGAAAAGGAGTGGTGGCAGAGTGCAGCATTTTGTAGCATTCATAAAAATGGAGTCCTAATCACTTGTGTAAGTGTAAGGAGGGGCACTACTTTCAAAGCATGGTGTGCTAGCAAATACATTCTGTAGACCTGAAATATGACACAAGGGTTCCTTTCCAGGCATATCATGGCTAAGATGTGCAGAACAATTGATGCTACTAGAATTAGACAATGGAAATTGAAAATGAAAACGCTGAGATGAAGAAAGAGAGCTATCAAGTGTTAAGCATTTAGGACTACACACTAATTCATCCGAGGGAGCAGAATTGAGAAATGAGGATGAGACATGATTTACTTCAGAACATATCATGGCTAATGAATTAAAATTGGAATCCAGATTATCCATTTCATCATTCGAAGTTAAAGATAATTGGTGTTCATCACTTAAATCATCAATAATAGTGTCAATCATATTTAAGCCGAGCAAGGATTAATCTTCAAATGGGTGCTTCATAGCCTCATAAACATTAAACTTGCTTCGTTGATCACCTACTTCCATAACGATAAATCCTTCTTTCAAACTTATAACTGTATTGGCTGTCCTCAAAAAGGGTCTTCCCAGGATTAACAGTTCTTCAATGGAGGAGTCCCTAGACATGTCTAAGATGTAAAAGTCTGCAAAAATTATTGGCCCCTTCACCTTAACTAAAATATCTTCCAAAAATCCATGGGGTGTTCTAGTACTTTCGTCAGCTAATTGAAGAATGACATTAATAGGTTCTGCAATAGATTTTGTAAACAGATTTTGGCATCACATTTATAGCAGCACCTAAATCTAAAAGAGCATGACCAAAATTAGGTTTACCGATTTGACAAGGAACTGTAAAGGATCCAGGGTTAGCACATTTAATGGGAATTTCAGGTTTGAATATAGCAGAAACATTTGATCTGAGTAGTACCCTTTTATTTAGTCTACAAATCCTCTTATGTGTGCACAATTCTTTTAGGAATTTAGCATAGCTGGGCATTTGTTTGATGAACAACAGCATAGGCACATTTACTTCCAGCTTACTGAACAAATCCATCATTTCCTTTTCCAGTGAATCATTCATTTTCTTCTTACTTAACAAATATGATTTAGGAAAAGGAAGTTCATTCAAGTTGGTTTCCTTACCTCTATTGTCTGAACATGCTGTGTTGGAATCTTGTAGCACTGTCATGGGATTTGCTTGACTCTGCTCCCATGTAGCCGGTGAATCAGAAGAAAGTGGAGTGCCGTCTTGTATAGAACGCTCTATAGACTTAGGAGCAGCATTTTCTGGTTGCTGATTGGCCAGCTCAAATTCGTGGTGTTTCTTAGTAATTGCCTCTGGTGCATTAGAAGGAATAGTATTGTTAGAAAGGCCAGGCTGCTTTCTTTGTAATGGGTTTTGTTCAACAGTTGCTATAGTACCAAGATGCTTGCCACTCCTTAAGGTAATAGCATGAAGTGCCTTAGTATTAATTACAGTATTGGAATGCAGAGATCCTCCATGTTAAGCTCGGCTACTGCTCACAAAATCCGTGATTTTGGTTACATAGGATTCAAGGTTGGAATTCTTAGAATCTAGTTGTTCTAGTTTAGTAAAGACACTGTCAAATTTGCTCCCCATTGCAGCGAATTTAGCATTGGTTTGTGCTCTATCCTCATCACGTCTTGTAGCCAAATTTCCTACGGTTGTAGAAAGTGTGGATGACAGATTGTGCATACTCTTAATGAGTTGAGAGATATCATCCTTAGTAACACTTGCATCCGAAATAGGTACCACAACTTTAGCAAAACCTGATTGATTTTCAGATGTAAAAGCCTGAAACTGTCCTGAATTTCCACCTTGGAAATGATGTGGAGCACCTTTGGCTTCATTTTGCCTCTAATCAAAATTTGGGTTTGATTTCCAACCCTCATTATAAGTATTTGAATAGGGATTCCATGGCCTTTGGGGTTGACCTTGTCTACCTTGAAACATGGCAAAAACATCCTCAAAGTGATTTGGGCAATTTGAAGTGAGATGCATGGAGGAGTTGCATATCTCACAGCTAGCTACAACCAAAGCTTGAGATTGCGGCTCATGGGAGTTAGACATAAGCCGTTGAAGTTGTGCACTCATGATTGCCATTTGAGCAGCTAAACTATCAATAACCTTCTCAGATTTTACAGAGGAATAAACTTTATGGACTTGCCGTGCATCCTCCCCTTCAAATTGCTGAGTGTTATGAGCAATTTTCTCAATCAACGCCCATGCTTCATTTGTAGTTAAATCCTAAATAGTGCCTCTGGCAGCTGCATCTAAACTCTTTCTATCTTGAGGAATCAGTCCACTGTGAAAGTATTGGATTAAATGTGCCTTCGGAATCTGGTGATGAGGACATTTAGATAGCAATTCTTGAAATCGACTCTAATATTCATAAAAGGATTCTTGAGCCATCTGTTTAGCACCATAAATTTCTTTTATTAAAGATGCAGTCCTGGAAGGTGGAAAATATCTCTCTAGAAAAGCATTTTGCAGCTTGGTCCAGGAAGTCAGTGCACTGGCCGTGTGATATGGTACCATAAGAAACCATTCCTTAGCCTTCCCTTCAAGAGTGAAATGAAAAACCTGTCTGAAAATCTCATCCATATCAGTCCCCACAGGTTTCATTGAGGCACACACCATATGCATTGTTTTTAAGTGTTTATAAGGATCTCCCCCTGATAAACCATAAAACTTGGGTAAGTTACTTAATAAAGGACCCTTTAATTCAAAACTAACATTGAAATCAGGCAAGTTCTGAATGGATCATATGTATCATTAGAAGATGTCAGATCCCTAATTGTTCTACGCTCCCTGTTATTTGCTTGTACAACATCATTATGGTGTTGATTATTATTTAGATTTGCATTGTCAGCCTGCTGTTCACGCGCTTCATCATTGGTGGGTCTGTTTAAAGCTTGGTTAACTCTATTAGGACCATCCATGATGAAATGATTATCAACTAAATTACCTAGAGCAGATTCAGAAGCAGAAACATGTGGCCCAAGGGAATTTCTAGGGCTGGGTGATAAATTGTGTTCAAATTCAGAAACAGGTATAGTGGGCCTAATTTCTGATTGCTTAGTTTTTTTAATCTGCCTTAGTATTCGATTAATCTCTCTATCTAAGGGGTAAAAATCAGTGTCCCTAGACATGCAAAGTATAGCTCATAGAAGGGCAGCCAGAACAAGTCGGATTAACAATTTGTGCATGGAATAGACAGAAGATAACACCTTAACTGTTGAAACACCAAGAAGAGGTAAAAGTAAAATTACCAAAACTGATATGGTTGGCTGCAGCTAAAAGTGAAAAAGGCAACAACAGATTAGATTGCAATTACAAAGCACAAACAAATCAGTAGAACAGAACAAATTAATCTTCCACCAAACACGAAATCTAAAAGCTAGGAAGCCAACAACGGCGCCATTTGATTGATCCTAATCACACAGACCATTCAAAAAATACTAGAATTAATGCAGTTCAGGGAAAGCAACTCTAGGTATTGATCTCTTTTTCCCTATGACATTAGACCGAATGTTCAATGGAGAGAATAATCAATTTAAGTAATTGATTGGTAAAAGAGTTCTAATTTTTTGTTTGGTTTATTCAAATGAACGAGATTCAGAAACAAAAGAAAGAATTACTATGAACTGAAGCAAAAGAGGTTGATGATTAATGTAGAACAGAAATCAATTGATTAATTCCTCCTGGAAGTTTCCCCTCACCATCATCACTGAATCATGAGTTAAGAAATTCATCTCTACATCCCTGTCACAATTCATGAATTAAGAATAGAGGAGCAGCGGAACCGAATTGAATACTCAAAGCATAAAATCATCCGAGACAATCAGTAACACCAAGTGTCAAATCAAAAATTAAGTTCAATCTTGCGATACAATTTCTAATCGACTGATAGAAATCTCAATCACAAAATCTCCGCCCAATCAAGGATGACTGATGACTTCAAGAATTCAATTCAGTTTATCAAATCTAATTGAATAGAACTGTAATGTACTCTATTACTAACTTGGTTTCAAACATCATACGACAGAGAGAGGCGAAAGATTTGAAACTACAGATTGATAAACTGAATTTCTTATGTATCAGTTTAGTCGAGCATGGTTGTTTCGTTGCTTCTACTGGAATTCGCGTTCTCCATTGCTAAGCTTCACACCAAATCGCCGAGGTTGAGAGTAGATGGTGAATGGAAGAGAGAGAATTAGAATATGATCCCGCCCGTTCTGTTATTTTTCATTCCTTATATTCACCAGCAAGCTCTTCTCTCATTCCTGCCTTCCCCCCGGTTCTCTTCATTCTTTTCTGTTGAAATTCAGTTAGAGAATCCCCTTTCTTTCGGTTTCTCGCTTCCCTCATTTGATTTTTCAGTTTTGGAGCCGAGGGAATCCATTTCTCACTGGTGATGGAATTCGAATTTTCATTCTGATGGAACTGCCTTCCTTCGACTTCATTTTCCTCCTAGTTGGAATTGCACTTACCACAATTGTGAAATTCCAACTTTGTCCCTGAAATTAATCCAATAATCACAAGATAATATCTAGTCTGAAGAATTAGTCAAATGCTTATTAGAAACCACATTTTAACCCATTTCCACTATTTATGTGCATCAAATGTTAATTCATTAATAATGAAATTAATTCCTAAATAATTCACTAAAATATCCACAAAATGCACTTGTTAACATATCAAAATAGTAGTTCATCAGTATGCTTAAGCCTTCTTATCCTTAAGTTTTGAATTAGTTTAGTTGGGTTTTGGATTGGAAAATCAAGAGGTGATGCTGCCCAAATTTCAGCCTAGTCATGTGATGTTTAGGGAAGGATAGAAACCTTAAATATCAAGTGGAATAAGCATGTTTAAGTGGTGTATGGATTGATTTTTGAAAGAAAATCAACCTAGGGTATTATATGTTCAATTCAGCCAGGTACTGTTCATGATGTAGGAAATTGTTTTGCATTGATTTGATGATTCCAATGGGTTTAAAACATTTTTTTGTGTAGGGATATATTAAAGGGAAGTGTATAAAATCACTGGAATCAAAAATGGAATTTTTGGAAGCTTATATACCCCTATTCGGCCAACATGATTTCATAGGGAAGGAGTTTGATTTTTGAAAACTGATTGGATATTTGAATTCCTCATAAAAAATTGTGTAGGATTGAGCCAAGAGATCATTGGTTCTAAAGGAGGAACAATTTTCTTAAAAATCAAAGAAAAAGGAGGGAAATGTTAAGTTAAAGATAAAGTGTTGTATTTAAATTATTTAGTTGTTAATGTAATTATAGTTATGCTTAAATTAGTAGGCTTTGTGAAGAGGAATCAAGGAGAATCATTATCCTTTGAGGAGACCAAATTAATCAAATGTTAAAAGGTAGCATTGAATTATAATTTGATTATTTATCTTGCTTGTTTAATTTGATTATATTGTTTGATTGGATTGAGGAATTGTGTTGTGATCTTGGTTGATTGGATGACTTTGGGTTATGCTTTGGCCAAAGTGCATTGATTCATGTTATTGTGGAAGTGTTGGTGTTCCTCTCCTAACATGGTGTTAACTATGATTTTATGTGGTTTGATTATGCCTTGAAGTGTAATAACATGTCACATAGTAACTTGCTTGATTTACATAATAATTATAGTTCAATGGCTACTGAGATTTCTTTAAAATCTCATTCCTCCTATATTAATTTATGTACCAATTAGGAGATGATTCATCCATTGGCAAAGGCAAGGAAATGGTATTGGAATGAAGGAGCCCTATGGAATTCATAATATTTTGAAAAGTCATGTAATGTTTTAATGAACTTTATATTAAGTTGAAATGAATTTTGGATGATAATATCATGTAAATTATATTTGTATAATGTATGTGAAGGCTGGATAATATGGGTCATGGAATGTTTTCATGGAATGGCACATGAAAATAGAAAATAAAATGCGAGAAAGGTATGACTAGGGGATAGAATTGCCTAAATTAGGGACAAATTTGTGTCACATAAAATAATAAGTAAATGATGAAATCTAGACCTGAAATTTTGCAGGCAAATAGATCTTATTTTTAGCTTTAAAACAAGTAGTAGATCATAGAACAGTGCACTTTGTCGAATTTTCTGGTGCTGCTCTGGATAGAATTGAGTCCAATGAATACTCTTCTTCTAAACAACTCTTAGCAAGCTTCACATGAAAATTGGAAACACCTTATCTAGATTTTTTTAGAATGAATTATGAATTTTTAAAGTTAACTTAAATTTGGATGAACAGTGTATAGACAGCCTTAAATGTAAAATTTTGAAATTGAAATTTTTTGCTCGGAAACGTTAGGAAATATGTTATAATAGTTCCAATTGATGTATAATGGGATATTAAAGGAGGTGTGACAAACTACAACTTTACAACAATACTTTTTATATAATTTGCAATAATTTTTATATGATTTATACAAAAAATGACAATTGGCATTGCGTCGTGACCACTGAAAAAGAAGAAAACGATAAAGGAACGTCAATAGAGTTTGATTTGTGTTTGGGTGATAATTTCCAGTCGCATAATCGGTGAAAAGGAAGGAAATATATCTTTTGCTTATTCCTATTCTAATAAGCCATGCTTTAGTGTAGCACTTTTCCCCATTAATGTGATGTGTAATGTTTATATTTAAAAAAATAATATCTATGTACATATATATTGTTCACAACACCTGCAAAATTAATAATAATATGGTTTGAGTCATGTCTAAAGATATTGTCCTTAAGAGTTATTTCACCATACAGGTTAGAATAAAAGGCAGCACTTTCTAAGATTTTTTTTTTGGTCAAATGCACCTTCCAGGATTAAATGAACCCTTTTTGCGTAGAGTAAGGTAACATAATAACAAAAATTTAAAACTCAGGAGAAGAGAGAAAGAGGAGGAGAGCTTAGGGATAGAACTCGATGCAGTCTAACCATGCACCACACATTGCCTTTTATGGGCAAATGATATGTGACCGTTGGGCTGCCATAATGGTGATTAAATATGATTTTAATGATAATTAAAAGGGCAGTATTTAAATAATTAATTAAGGTGAATTAAAACATTTTAACACCATCAATATGGTTTTAATGATAATTAAAAGGGCAGTTTTTAAATAATTAATGAAGGTGAATTAAAACATTTTAATGCTATCAAATTTGGTTTTAATGATAATTAAAAAGGCAGTTCTTAAATAATTAATTAAGGTGAATTAAAACATTTTAATGCCATTGAATATGATTTATGAAAGAATAAAACCAACTAATTAAGACACATAAATGCTTCAATGGTCATCTCTAGCGGCTAGTTCTAAAGACTCCTCTTCTCATCCATTTTATTAACTTAAGCTCGCATCTTAGTAAACACTAAGGTTTTCTCAATCTTGAGTAATATGAGACTTCTTTTGACACACAAGTATAACCATTTCGAATATGGTGTCTTTCGGACTATGAATCTGACCTAGACCAGTAACACTTAGTACACAAAGATGTTAGTGAAGCCTGCTTCTATGAACCAACAACTCTTGGATGTGTATTAGAGGCATTAAGAGTCAAATTATACTGCCACAATTTCTACCATTAACAGTAGTTTTGCGCGTTATAATGGCCATGTACGTGCCTGATTCTTAACGAATGCTCTAAAGATTTTGTTAGGATCTCATGGGAGCGGCCCCACTCCATATTCGTAGAAGTGATTTCATTTAGCGTACCTGAATGAGCACACCATCCCGTAGGATTATTAAATTATTAAGAGCTTTTGCTCAGCCTCGCCAAGAAATGCATTCTAGCACTTTCTCACATCATAAGAAAGGACTATGAATTTATAATAGTACTAGTAGAACTAACATATGACTTGTTTTTTTCCATCTGAACCTTCTTCATGGAGTCTCCAATCATAAAGGTTGGGTTTCCATCGTTGTTAATTTCATGTTGGCTTAAGTTTCATTCTCGTTGATGTTTTTGTAATCTGTTTCTTTCTTAAGGCTTTTGTTAACGAATTTGCTGGGCCTACTTTCCAACTCACAAAATCAATTGAGATAACTTCACAATTATTAAGCTAGCTTATTCACATAATATCTCAAACGATATGTACTTGTACTATTGTTTCCTCTACAATAGTTATTGTCATTTGGCAATCACAGCTCATCGACACTAAGTTTCATTTTTACACTGAAATATTTGCTAAGATGTTTATGACAACTTAGCCTTCAATCACCACTAAAGGTGAATAATCACTAGTGGATTTTCTCATATAACTTGAAATTCAGTTAACATCCGTGCATTTCAATACACTAGGAATCCACCGCACAAGATACCAATGGTACCCCTCAAATATTTCATTTGCCCCGTAGGACTTCATTTAAATAAATGCTCAACCTTATAGCATAGGTTTTTATCACTAGAACTAATTTAATTTAATACAAAAAATTCTAAAAAATTTGTGCATATACAGATTGAGTTGTACAACTGTCTCAAACAAAATGTCATAGAAATATTCATATATTGGTTCTTGGGAACCAAACTCTGGAAACACTTCTTAAGTTGAGAGATTTTGTCACCACCTTTATGATCTCAACACTCAAAAACATATTTATTTCACCTATGCTTCCATTTTAAAATTTGAAGCTAAAAAGCATAATATTTCATATCCACATTAAAATTTGGGAAAATTTCACTGTAGGACCGTAGAAGACAAATAATCTCAAAGAGCCCCCAAAACATTCTGAAATCTCACTGCAGGACCAAGGGGCCAATCTGATATTAATTCCACAAGCGAAATGACGCCACTGCCCCTCATTTTACTTCCGCTGAAATTTGAAAATAAGGCGAAAAAGCGACGATCAAAAGTCCTCCCGCTCTCTCTCTATATGCGAACGTAACCCATGTGCGAAAAGTGTTCCCTCTCCCGCTCTGCGAACGTGCAACCACTCTGGGAAAACTGCTGCGTCTCTCGGTCTGCGAACGTGCTACCACTCTACGAAAAATCTGCCCTCTCCCGACTGCGAACGTGCTACCTCTGTGGGAAGATTCCTGCCTCTCGCAATCTGCGAAAAGTGTTCGACGTGGCCCCCAAAAATTCCATCAGCTTCAATCTGCGGGTTCGTGGTAATCACTAGAAGCGGAAGGAGAATAAGAAAAGGCCGACAAAGGAGGAAACTTGCAAGGCTATCGACAAAGAAGGAAGAAGCAGGGCGAGAAGAAGTCACTGATTTCCATTTGGTAAGCTTCGCGGTCCCCGTTAAATGCAGTAGATTTCTTGGATTTTGTTTTCATGGTAGGTTAAGGAGGAATGACCCACTGAAAGGTGGGTGTGTTTGGTAATGACATTTAGGTTCTAACCCAGGAATGATTACCAATGTGTCACATAGTGTTCGGCCATTTCCCTGACTGCCCTTTAGCAAATGCTCCTGATTTAGTGAGCGAATGCTTGTGAGTGTAGCATGAAGAGTTTGTGTGGGGGCTAAGTAAGAAAGTTATTAATTATTTAGGGAAAAATTAGTGTTGGTAGTTAACTGCATTGCTATAGTGTTTGTAGGCATTTTGCAGGAATAAGGAAAAGAATTGGGAGGGTAAATGTTGTCGTATGGATTAGGCAAATGAGTTTGTTTTGTTTGGTTTATCCCGTTGATTGTTGGAATGTGAGATTTTGTGGGCTAACAATGGGAGTTAGTCAATTGACGTGAAGAATTAGTTGACTAACCAGTTGCATGTGACAACCTCATGTGTGCATATATCTGTCAACTTAGGCAATTTACACGAAGAATCAGTAAATTACCAGCTATGTTTGTTGGAATCTGATTTGTAGTGGCCTCACAAGGAAAATTAGGAAATTGACACGAGGAATTAGGGGTTTAGCCAGTTAGCTTATGTCAAACAGTTTTCATGTTTCCGGGAATCTGTCAAGTTAGGAAATTTACATGGAGAATCAGTAAATTACCCACTAAGTTTGTGGGAATTTGGTGTGCAGTTGCCTGACAAGGAAAATTAGGCAATTGACACCACCAGTGAGCTGGATTTCCACTTAGCTTATGTGTAACTGTTTGATGCGTGGTGGACTGAGAAAGTTAGGAAATTTACCTCGAAAATTAGTTAATTAACCACCTCTGCTGCATAATTGCATGTTTGTGGGAATGTCGTTTGCAGCGGCCTCACAGGGAAAATTAGGTGATTGAGACGAGCAATTAGGTGAATTTCCACTTAGCTTCTGTTTAAGTGGTTGATGTGTGGTGAACTCTGGAAGTTAGGGAATTTACATGAAAAATCAGTAAAGTAACAACTGGCAATTCAAAATTTCATGTTTGTTGGCATGTGATCCGTAGCGGGCCTCACAGGAGAAATTAGTCAATTGACACGAGGATTTAGGGGATTATCCGCGTAGCTCCTGTCTGACGGTTTCATATTTTTGTTGAATCTGTCAAGTTAGGAAATTTACATGGAGAATCAGTAAATTACCCACTAAGTTTGTGGGAATTTGGTGTGCAGTTGCCTCACAGGGAAAATTAGGCAATTGACACCACCAGTGAGCTGGATTTCCACTTAGCTTATGTGTAACTGTTTGATGCGTGCTGGACTGAGAAAGTTAGGAAATTTACCTCGACAATTAGTTAATTAACCACCTCTGCTGCATAATTGCATGTTTGTGGGAATGTGGTTTGCAGCGGCCTCACAGGGAAAATTAGGCAATTGACATGAGCAATTAGCAGAATTTTGACTGTTCGCGGTGTAATTGTTTGATCTATGTTGGAGTGTGAAAGTTAGGGAATTGACATGAAAAAGTAGTTAATTAACCACCTCTGTTGCATAATTTAATGTTAGTTGGAATCTGATCTTTTGTGGCCTGACAATGAATGTTAGCTAATTTACATGAAGAATGGTGTCATTATCCAGTTAACCTGCATGTAACAATTTGATGTCCTGTCGTATGACAAGTTAAGGATTTAACAATAATAATTAGTGTGTATATAATTTCCGGGTTTATGATACAAGAAATGTTGGATGGTATGAATGTTTCTGTTTAATGTACTAACTAATGACTTTGTGATTATTGGATACAGGAAGAAGATGGGAAAAAAGGACGCACAAGTTACCGGCTGGAAAGTATTCAAGGGAGAATATTGGGAGCAAAAGAAGCAGGAGATGCATGGGAATATGGGAGCAATCACAGATGCGGCTTCAGCAATTTGGAGGGAGATGAGTGATGCTGATAGGGAGCCATACAGGAAGAAGGAGGAATAGCTGATAGAGGAGAAGAAGAAGAAGGAGAAATATGTGTCCCCATTTTCTACTCGGTGCTCCCCCACAAAATTCAAGGAAGTGGCAAAGTTTATAAATGGCAAAGAAAATTTAAAGCGCAAGGTAGAAGAAATGGGGTTTGGTCATCTTCTTGGTATTACTTTGAATAAGCTGCCCAGAGATTTATGTCTGGAGTTGATTCATGCATATGACCCCCCAAGTAAACAAATTACCATAAGGGGGAAGACAAAGAAGGTCACGTGTACAGATGTTAGGAGGGTTCTTGGGTTACCAGATAAGGGCTCCAAAGTGAAGTTGGATGGCTTCAAGGATGAAGTAAATGAGCTGAAGAAGGACTATACTCCATTGACATATTCTCAAATTGCGGAGAAGATAAAGAGTGATGAAGAAGATGGAAACTTTGAATTCTATTTTGTTCTTTTTACAGTGGGCACTCTTCTTTGTCCCACGGGAAGTGCAAGTGTGAGTGACAAGGTGCTAAAAGTAATGGCTTGCACAGAAAATAACTGGAAAAAATTTGACTGGGCTTCCTTTGTGCTTGACAAGCTCAGTGAGGAAATTAAACGGTACAATAGGAGCAGTAAGGAAGGACAGACCGAGAGTGCCAGAGTCGTCGGAGAGTGCATCTACTTTTTATTGGTACTTGCATATTTCCTTACAAAATATGCCCTATTGGATATGCTTTGAACATTAAACTGTTGATGTATTATGTAATTTGATTTTTGAGTCATATTTTTTTTTTCTCTGCAGTTGCACTTCCTGCAAAGGTTCCCTCTACAGGGAGGTGAACCAAAAGACAAAGACGTCGTCAGACATTGGGATGATAAGGCTGTGAAGAGGAGAATTGATGCGGAAAAGGAGAGTCGACATGGCATTTTCTACAGTCCACCCGCTGCTGAAGTGAATGAGTCAACACAACCGGGGAGCAGTACAAGTTTCCATCATCCGGTGAGTAATACCAATGTGATAATGTCTGTTGGTGAGACTTAATATCTGTTTGATGACATACATTTACAATGTGCAGGACATTAAGGAGTTTTGGCTCAATTTCAACAACCACATTGAACAATGAGATGACCAAGATTCAAAACTTAGTTTGTAATGAATTAGTTAAGCTGGAAAATAAACTTCTTAACCAGGGAGGCAATGAAGAATAAGGAAAAGAACACCACACTGAGGAGGATGAAAATGAGTGGCCACAACATGATGAAGTTATGACTGTAGAGAGCGGAGAAACATGAAAGTGGTGACAAATTGCATGATGATGAACAGCAAGAAGAAGAAGAAGAAGAAGAGAGGAAGATGAAGACGAGAACGACAATGTGAGAGAAGATGAAGCTGCAGATAAGGATACTGAAGATGAACAGGCAGCTCAAACGGAAGAAGGGAAAATGGTGGGCAAAGCAGTGCAGCTACCCACAAGGAGGTCAAGTAGACGTAAAGTCCTAGTAGTTAAATCTCCTTACATGTCTACTTATGGCAGAAAGGTGAAAATGAGTGACAGGGATGCATTTTATACTGTGTGTACTGAGTAGTGTGTCAACCAGATGAGGCTCAAGAGTAAGTATAGTCAGTTATTATGGAAAAGACAGCCTGTGAATAATACTACTATGCAACACTGACTACTTATTTTCACTTTCATATTTGTTGTAGGGTCATGGTAGATATGTTTGGGCATTTGGCAACACGATCAGACCTACAAGTACTGGGTCCTAGAAGGTGGATAAGCAACAGGGTACGTGCACCTATTCAAGTTACATCAAAGTGGCCATATATGGAATGTGCCACAATTTTAATTTAATTTTCCTGCTCCTTTATTCTACAGATCATGACTCTGATTGCCCACACCTTGAACGCTGACCAACATGAGAGTGCCTCTGCGGTTAAAAGACACATATTTGATGCAGATTTCACGGTTAGTGCTATCCCCTGTTAATGGATCAATGCTTTAAATTGTGCAATAAAGTTATCGATACAGTTTCTTCACTGACAATTTGCATTGCTGTGCAATTTGCTGTTGTGATAGGCAAGGATGGTGCAACAACACACAGCATGGCAAGTGGACAAACACCTGAAAGAACTACTTCCCCAACACGTGGGATACAATTTGGCTGAATGTGAATACATATTTGCACCTGTTGTGTTTGCACTGCATTGGTTTTGCTTTGTGTTTGAACCGAGCACACTAAAGTTTTATGTGCTGGACTCTCTGCGTGGTGGTGAGGATACAATGAAGCACCAAAAGAAGAAGAATAAGTCTGATCCAGCATTAAAGGGGCAGCAAATCATGGCGCAAACTTTTGTAAGTGGTGTAATTATTCTGCTACTTTTGTGTTGGACAACCATAGTATCCCCTGTGTGATAATCATCTGTAATTGTGTAGAGGGCACACTTCATTGAAATACTAAGGAGAGTGAAGCCTGAGCTGGAGGGGTTGGCCAACCCAGATTCAAACAATGACATCTTGTATCCCACGGTTCATGTTCAAGACAATACGTGAGTCTTTTGTTCACTGAAAGTTATTTGTCATAAATTATAATCGACATACATAAGCCAGCATAGTGATGTGTTCATTTTTTCAGTGATGATTGTGGGGTTCATGTCATCACATATCTAAGAGAGTGGCCCAACCACAAGAGAAGGATGGAGTTCTATTCACCATGCCTTATTATACAGCAGTAGGTGTTGAATTATATATTAATGACATCATGCATTTGTGTCAACTTACTGAGAACAGTTGTTGTTGTCCCATAGGATCAATACACATCTATACGGTGTGAGCTATTGTGGTGGCTCGTGACGCATCAAAGAAACATCAAGTCAGATGCTGTTACCAAACACCTTGACCACATTAACAGACAACGCAAGAGAAAGCGATGACTGATCAAATTCCTACCTTGTAGTTTTTGCTGATAAGCACTGTAATTGTTGTTGTGAACACTTTATGCGGACTAAAATGTTGTGCATACAAACGATGTTAATGAAGACTGTTTTGATGGATTCATATTATCACTACTTGTTTACTTTCATTAGATGTACGGTTAACAACAAAAATTAGGGAATTTGCACCAAAAAAAACAGGAATTAACACCAAATGTTCGTCCATTTCAACTGAACAACCTACATCAGGGATTTGATCTTTCGACGAACGATTAGACAATTTGCAAGAGAGACAAATAAGTTAACAACAGCAATTAGAGCATTCACAAGTGTCGTTCATCTGCTGAACAACATGTCCTCTTAAATATGCAAGTGCCCTCCTTCACCTGAATAAGGTGTCCATTTCTATGAGGAACTAGGGAATTTGCTACTCCGATACATATATTCACAACTGTAATCAGTCCATTTACATGTGCCGTCCTTAACCTGAACAGGGTGCGTATTTGCAAGGGGAACTAGCCAATTTGCACAACACATACCGATATTCACACGTGGAATCAGTCCGTTCACATGTCGACTGGTCTAGCTGAAGCATGTGTCCGTGAGGGAACAAGTGCGGGAGAGAGCGCATTTGCAAGGGGAACTAGCCGATTTGCACAACAAATACCTATATTCACACGTGGAATCAGTCCGTTCACATGTCGACTAGACCAGCTGAAGCATGTGTCCGTGAGGGAACAAGTGCAGGGAGGGAGAGAGCGCATTTGCAAGGGGAACTAGCCTATTTTTAAAAATACATACTATATTCACACGTGGAATCCGTCCGTTCATATTGGCAAGGGGGACTAGCTAATTTGCAAGACACATACTTGGCTTCACATGTGGACTGATTCACCTGATGCATGCGTCTTACTTAAGTGTGGGACAGCCCATTTACAAGTGGGACTAGACAATTCACACCATACATGCATATTTTCACAACTATAAATAATCCATTTAATCTGACCTACTCGTAACTGAAGGAGGTGTCCGTGGGTGAACAGGTGTGCAAGGGCCCATTTGCAAATGAGATTAGACAATTTGCCACATACATACAAATATTACAAAAAAATAGTCCATTTGCATGCGGACTGATTCACCTGGAGAAGCTGTCCAAGTATGGTTTCGTTATACCATTTGCAAGTGGACATTAGACAATTGGCAACATACATATATATATATTCACAACTGTAATCAGTCCATTTACATATGATGACCTTCACCCGAAGAAGCTGTCCGTCAGTGGACGGCAGGGGAATCTCCGTTTGCAAGTGAGATTAGACAATTTGCAACATACATACAAATATTTACAACTAAAAAATAGTCCATTTGCATGCGGACTGATTCACCTGGAGAAGCTGTCCAAGTATGGTTTGTATACCATTTGCAAGTGACATTAGACAATTGGCAACATACATATATATATTCACAACTGTAATCAGTCCATTTACATATGACGACCTTCACCCGAAGAAGCTGTCCGTCAGTGCACAGGCAGGGGAATCTCCGTTTGCAAGTGAGATTAGACAATTTGCAACATACATACAAATATTTACAACTAAAAATAGTCCATTTGCATGCGGACTGATTCACCTGGAGAAGCTGTCCAAGTATGGTTTCGTATACCCTTTGCAAGTGACATTAGACAATTGGCAACATACATATATATATATTCACAACTGTAATCAGTCCATTTACATATGACGACCTTCACCCGAAGAAGCTGTCCGTCAGTGGACAGGCAGGGGAATCTTCGTTTTCAAGTGAGATTAGACAATTTGCAACATACATACAAATATTTACAACTAAAAATAGTCCATTCGCATGTGGACAGATTACAGCCTAACATATCCTGCGACAGCTATAGTCACCTACTGTCATGAAATTTTTCAACTATTGACACCGCTATACAAAATATAATCGAACCACCACCAAAAAAATCAAAATGGGTTGTCATAGCTACTTCCCCAACAAATCAACAACTACATAGTGGGGCTCATTTATGTACAAAAAGTAGCTGTGTGTTGAACCAAAAAAATAAAAGACCATTTTGAGCAACAAAGTCACCCAGGGTTCGGGTTAGTGCAAATCTTTCTAGTGTGACCAGCTTCACCACATCCTGAGCAATGATACGCTTTCTTCTGTGGAATTGTGATTCAATCCTCCTACCTCTGGGTCTTCCAGCACGCCGAGTTGTCAATGGTGGTTGTAGGAAATGGTGGACGAGTAATCTTCATATCGAAGGGAATCTGGCCTAGGGAATGTCATGGGTCTCAACTGGAATCATGAGTCTGCCATAAATTTTTTTTGGGCTGAGAGTAAAAAGCAATCCTCGACATATGCATATATATTACCATATACCTTTTGATGCAGCACTTGCATGCGGGCAAGGTAGTCCTGACATTTGCCAACCTTTGCAGGTGCATTCACGTAACACAAGATTTTACCCGCACATCTAGGTTTCCCATCTGACCCTGAAATTGTTCATTCCATAATTTTACACATCCATTCTTTCTGATCTGGCCACATGATCCATCAACTTTTCTCTCTATAGGTCCCACACCATTGCTCCAATTCGTCATGGCTTCTTTGCTGTGGTACATCTTGTTTGCCAATTTTTCCCTGTGCTCATGTATCAAGACAGCTATGTTGTGCTTCCTCTCACCAACAAGCCAAGCATTAAAGGATTCGGCTAGATTTGGTTGTGATATTGTCCCACCTCTTGTAAGGAAATTTGTTTTGTGCCCAACGCTCAATGTCTCCATTTGTTTGAAGCCATTGTCCTAATTCTGGACAAAATAGCCCCTTAAGCTTTCCTCGTACTGCAATCAAAGTCTCTATCAAGTCTTGCGTATGC